TCCTCTTCCTCCCACCATCCTATTCTGTTTACTCCTCCCACCTATGTTTTAACCTATCAGGGCCAAGGAGTTTCTTTATTGCTTAACCAATGAAATCAACAGATTGATATATGACACTCCCACATCATGGGAGTATCTATTTTTGCCCTCATTCTGTTCTTATCGTTTTTATTCTTGATTTTTTTTTTCTGAAAAGGAAAACCTGATTTGGAACACCTAATTCTTCCTTTACAAATAACTCTACATTAGAGCCGGGTAGTGGTGGCGCACACCTTTAATCCCAGCACTCAGGAGGCAGAGACAGGCAAATCTCTGTGAGTTCGAGGCCAGCCTGGTTTACAAGAGCTAGTTCCAGGACCTACTCCAAAACTACAGAGAAGCCCTGTCTTGAAAAACAAAAACAAACAAAAATTAAGCCAAATAAGTCTACATTGGCTGGGTTTTCACTATTTCATTGCAGATTCTCGCTATAATTGAATTTCATTGAAGCCTTTTAAGCAGGATGGTCTATTCTCATCCACATATAATTTTTAAAATTATTAAACAATAGCCCCCTTCAAATTGCCAGTGTGTAACATGTCCTTAGTATTACTTTTCACATCTTATTTCCAACCTGTGTTGTATCATTATGTCAAGTGCTTATGTCAAGAGGAAGTCTCTCCTTTGTGGATTTTTCTATGGAAATAGAAGAGTTAAAAGAAAAGGTCAACCCCACGAATCTCTTCTACCAGTGCAACTAAGTCATTCTGTAAATGAGAGATTTGTAGACTCTTGGTTTCTCACCAAATCCTATGCTGATTCATCCCTTTAAAAATAAAATCTTATTGCTATCTCAGAGTTTGCACATAGATTCTGAAATTGAGCTATTTAAAATGTTCCCTTTTCCTTTTCAGTGATTTCTTTTGTAATACAAGGAAAGTTTAAATATTGCAAGGTTGAAGACATTGGCACTGATCAAAAATAGCTACATGGTGTTAGCAAGAAGTGTGTTATTTCCCTAGAGGCTAAAACAGTTTAACATATAAAAATGAGGTAGAGCTAGTCATGTAGAGTCAGGGAAATAATAACAAGTCATTTAAAAAACTTTGCCTTTAGCATTCTTGTCCTCTTGTTACTATAATGGCTTGGGCTTCCTTGGGGCTGTTGCATGGGGGCAATTCTCTAGAGGCTGCAATGGTGTATTGAGTCATGTGCCTCTGCACTTGGTGAACTAGGGTGATGAGAGCTAGGAGCTGGTTTTGAGACAATTGGATATAGTAGAATATTATTAGCCCCTTATTTGATCTACAGGTTTGATTTGCTCATATAATTTGTCATATCTGTGAGGGTTTGGGAACAGGGGTGGGAATACATGGTAAAAATGGAAGAAGATGAATATCTTCTCTCTTAGAAGAAAGGTTTTTCTTTAGACTTTTGCATATCGTAACTCAGAATCATAGAATTTTATAATGACCAAGTTAATAGGTTTTAGATTTTCTTCAGTTAATTACTAAAAACCTTATAATTCAGCAATATCTGATTACATGTCCTTCAGTGAAAAAAGATATTGCTAAGTTAGTTCTCTTATGCCCAAATACAATCTCTTCTTTAGAAGAGACCATTGCTATCATGTTAGGATGAATCCTCTGGACTGTGAGTGCCCCGGGCTTCTACCATTTTGATATGGCTTTGCTATATACAATGTGATGGGCTGTATACACAGCTATCCTGGGCTATGTACAACCTGTGAGCAACTGACTGTACACACCTACAAATCTGGAACTTTGTTTATAGAGATACACACATAGGCTGGATGGGTGCTTTATAGAAACAGCATTATACCATATTTGCTGGGTATATTTTGAGAAAGCACTCCCCTCCACTGAATTTTCCAGTTCACAACTCTAGTTAAAATTAGCTCTATTTTGCTATTTCTATCTAAAGTAAAGCTGTTTAGGAGGTGAATTTTATCTCCACCTCTGTGAATTTGCTCATTCTCTCCTTTATCTGTCTTCATTTCTGAGTTCCTCCTCTCCCATCACTGAGCACTTCTTCTCTCTTCCCATCTTTTATAGCTAGTCAGGGGATCACTCATAGTAATTGTATTTGAATCTTTGGTGCCAATTAGAAAGCAAAAATTTTTGTCCAAGTTAAAATATCTAGTACCACCACAGCAGTGGGAAAGGTGATGGACTATTTTAGGTTACATGCAATTCTTCTTTGCCATGAAGAACCATTCATTGTGTTTGGCTCATTCTGTTAGACTTTGAAGCCAAAATCACCACAGGACATTTCAAAAGAAAAAAAAAGTGTACATTTAAAATATACCTCACATTTGAAGATAGTTGTCAGAGTTCCAATTTAGAAGCTGAAATTCTGAGCTTCCCTGTTGAGCAAGGATGGGGACTAAGCAAGAAGTACATATATCTCTATTGTACAGGTAGCTGTGAGAATACACTTGAACACATATGATTGCTACTGTTGTATTCTAGCAATGGCTGAAACACAGACACATAGTCTACTGCTCCCAAAAGGATCAAAAGACATTGCAGAAGGAAGATACCACCACCCCAAAGCATCATCACATGCCAAAGGACTTCTGGGTCTTCTATATCTAGGCTCTTTACTCTTCTGGGGTAATTCTGGATTTTTACTTTTTATTATAGTTATGTATTGCTTTAAATTTATGTGTTTGTCGAGGCAAATGAGTGAAGATGCTTGCAGAGTCCACAAGACTGTGACGTATTCCCTGGAGCTGGAATTACAGATGGCTGTGAGTCGCTTGGCATGGTCATTGGGAACCAAACTCAGGTCCATGTAAGAACAGTATGTGTTCCTAAGCACCAAGCCATCCATCTCTTCAGTGTCTTCTGTAGTCATTTTTGGTTCCAAACATAAAACACCTTTTGTTGCTATCAATATATATTCATAGTTTTCAAATTCATCGACTAGGTGCTGCTTTATGACTTAAAACTGGATAAACAATGATGTACCAAGTCCAATGCTACGTATTTTAACTACTTCATGTTTAATAACTTACTGGGTTTAATAAGGTATGTCTTACGGTTTCTGTTGATGTAAAGAGATACCATGACCATGCAGCTCTTATAAGGAAAACATTTAATCGAGGTGGCAACTTACAGTTCAGAGGGTCCGTCCATTATCATCATGGAAGGGAGCATGGCAACATTTGTGCAGGCATGGTGCTGCTTACATCTTGATCAGAAGGCAACAGAAAATACATTATGACACTGGACAGTATCTTCAGCATAGGAAGCTTCAAAGCCCACCCCCAGTGGCCACACTTCCTCCAACAAGGACGCACCTCCTGGTAGTGCCATACCCTTCCAGCTTATGGGGGCCAATTACATTCAAATTACCACAAGGTGTTAACATACTCTATTGGGAAAGACCATTGAAGTAGCTTGTTTCATTGCCTGCTTAAGGAACTATTTCAGAATCCACAGTGGTACAGAATTAACTGCAAAACTTTCCTGCTACACTCTCGAGCTCTTCTGTCAGTCTACAAGGCAGTTTCTTTTACAAGAAGTTTCACATAATGGTTTGTAGTCTGAGTCTTCGTGTCATTTTAATAAATTAGAACATAAGTTATAAAAATATCCATAAGTAGTTTATGCTTTGCCAAATGCAATTTTCCGTATTAGAAATTCTACTAGCCTCAACTCAAATACTGCTGATAGAAATTGTCTTTTCACGAAACTGAAATATCTACTAGGTAAAACAATGGCTCATATCAAAAAGCACTTAGAGACAGGAGATATATTGTAGAGGTACAATTGCTTGCCTGGTATGCATATGCCTTGGGCTCCATCCTTAGACCACAGGGAATGGGGGAAAAGAAGCTACTCAAGTGATTGACACCATCCACTGTTCTCAAACTCTTAGCCATGAGTTCCTTTGAAGGATTACGTAAAGCAGCTCTGTGTGTTTAATACCCAGCAAGGTTTTGAAAGAGGAATGAAAAAATTATTTTTCGCCGGGCGGTGGTGGCGCACGCCTTTAATCCCAGCACTCGGGAGGCAGAGGCAGGCGGATCTCTGTGAGTTTGAGACCAGCCTGGTCTACAAGAGCTAGTTCCAGGACAGACTCCAAAGCTGCAGAGAAACCCTGTCTCGAAAAACCAAAAAAAAAAAAATTATTTTTCTGACTATCCAGTTATCACATCATTTTCAAAACATATATAACGCACGGTCATAGTCTGGATTCTCCTTTACTTGTCGCAGAATTAATTTTCTTACTTCATTTAACTTTCCTGTAAAGCATGGCATCTATATGCATTTTATATAGCATTTAATGAAAATTGGGGCATTCCAGAGTGACTAATTTTGTGATTTGGTAAGACATACCCTATCTTGACACTTTAGCTCATTGAAGTCAAACTTATTATTATAAGCTAAGATTTTTTTCTTGCCTCAACTCTGTTTTGTTATAGGAATTTTATATTTTGCAAATTATAAAAGTATCATAAGATTGTTAGCTACATTGATGCTTTGAAACTAAATATTAATAACTTTTAAGGTGAGGAAACTTTTATATTTAGTGTGATTCGTATCATTTACACAATGAAGCTGTATTGTGGGGATTATATTGTATCATTGAGATTCCAAGCCCCTATACAGCTCACATACCAAACTTTGTTTTGACCCTCCACAATGATCCAGCAGGTGTCCATGAAACACTTTAGGTCACTGGTGGCTTCTGATTCAGAAGCAGAAAAATGATCTGTGTTGGTTACAATTTCTCAGATTATAGAAATCTTCAAGATAGTGATGTTGGCTTCTCAGAAGTCAGTGATGAAATTGTTAGGCCTGACCTCACTTCATACCCAGGCTTCCTCATGTGGCAGCTGTTTAGCCACCTGAACGTTAGCTAGATTTTATTTATATACTTAATTTTCCCCAGAAGAATGCTGTTCTTAGGGATGAAGCATTTTTACAGTAGCATAAATCCTCTGTGCCTGGAAATGAAGTTAACAATGGCATTCTCAATTTGTCTTCTAGAGCATCAGAGCATCCGGCCTCATCCTGTTGGAAACAATACTCTTTGGGTCTCTGCTCCTGTACTTTCCGGTAAGTGACGTCCTGCTATTTTAAAAGCAGTCATCTGTTTTATTTTGATTTTCCATATTGTATATATACATATTACTAAGGAGTTGATAGATATTTAAATCTGACTCCTACAGTTTGGTTTTCCTTAGATATTTATGTATCATTTCTAGATCTTGTGGGGGGTTCTTGTAAACTAGTGGTATTTTTCTTCCTAGTTTTGTGAAAAGGGTCAAATATTTAGGTAAGATAGCACATGAAGGTCATATTTAGTGCATATGTTTAACATATACAAAAGTATTACTTTCATTCTTCCTTCTCCCTTATATAAATCAGAACTACAAACATACCACCAACAACGTAATGCTAGAAATTTCCCCATGCAAAGAGAAACATAAAGAAAAGTAAATTTTAATGAAGTAAATGTATATGTGATATTGCTCTTATATTTTATTGTTGTAATACTTAGTTTTTAATGATAAACACCAATTACTAATATGATTCTACAGTTGGTGTTCTGAAGTTATCATGTGAGGTAATTTCTGGAAATACTCTTAATTTCTTCTCTCAAGAGGCTTACAATTTATAGGAAGAAATGAGTCAGTACAGATCCCTGTAATGCAGTATGACAAAGACTTGGAGTGGCAGCAACATGGCATGGGGACACTTAGGGAAGATGCACAATCAAATCTAGAAAACATGGTATCAAAAGGGCTCCTAAGATCTAAGGCCGAGATGGTGTCTGAGGAAAAGACAGGCTTGGCCCCACATCGTGTTTTCTTCTTGTTTCTCTTGTTGGGCTGAAGAGCTAAATAGAGGAAATTCTGCTCCTTCTGTCTTTCTGTCTTCTACAACTGGGGTTCCTATTGCTGTGATTTAAAAAAAAAATATCAAAAACAACTTGTGAAGGAAAGGATGTAATCCATTTATACTTTTACACCACACTCCATCGTGGAAGGAGTCAAGGCGGGAACTCAAGGCAGGAACCTAGAGGCAAGAACTGATGCAGACGCCATGGAAAAATGCTGCTTACTGGATTGTTCTTAATGGTTGCTCAGTCTTCTTCATTATACCATCCAGGACCACCTGTCCAGGGGTGGCACAACCCACAGTGAGCTGGACAGTCTCAAAGAAATCAAGAAAATGCCTGAGAGCCTTGCCTACAAGTCAGTCAGTGAGGGCGTTTATTCAATTGAGGTTCCTTCTTCCCAAGAGACTCTAGCCTGTGTAAATTTGACACAGCACTAACTAGCACAGCTACCTTTTTCCTTTATAAACCAGCCAGTCTCAGGTATTTTGTCATAGTATCTCAAAGGAACTGAGAAAATCGGATTTTATTTCTCCATAGAAATCATCTACATTAAATTTTTTTAACTCACATGGTAGTATGCATTGCAATCAATAAAGAACCAACAGTCTTTACAGATTGAAATTTCTCATTGCTTGCATTCTGCCTCTCTAAGTGGTATGCCATGCACCCTAATATTTAATTTTCCCATAGAACTGTCAGGCACATATATGAATGACCTAATAAGGTAGTGAAAGGTTTGAAATGTCCCGACTAATATGAAGAATTATCTTAATAACCTGGATTTATTGGGCTTTTTTTTTGCATCAACCTCTGCTGTGTGTGAACCCACTATCTATCCAGTTATTAATTGGCCTTTAGAAAGGTCAGTTCTAATCTGTTGCCCTACCGGTGTCTCATCAGTCTTCAGAGAAGAAAAGTGAAAACTCTCGCCCTGGCTTATGATGTGGTGTTTGCCTGCCTGTTCTGTCTCACTGTGAACTATTTCCTCCCCACTTTCTGATCCCCAGCTGTATGGCCTTCTTTCTGTTCTCAAATGAATGCAACCCCTTCCGTCTATTCCTGGTCTCTGTCCTGTTATGATGGCTTGCAAAGAGTCTACCTGGCAGGAGGAAAAATCATGACCCTTTTATTATTTGTTTCTAGTGCCCACAGATAGGAAAAAAATCTTTGAAATGCCATTCTATAGCATGAGCAAAAGTTTGGCTCATTTTTACTAATAAGCTGCATGCTTATTTAAGTGATCATATTTCTGAGCATCACCTGTAATCTATGGGAGAATAATTGTAAAGCCTGTTACAGAGAAGAGCTGTTCCAGAAAAGTAGAACATTTGAAATAACAATGTCTGGCTGTTAAATATTGAACACAATGATTTGGGATCATTTTATTGAATATAGAATGCATGTCTGAAAATCATTTGATGTCCTTATACCCATGATGACATTAGATATAGAGAGAAAGAGAGACTCTTGATAGTTAAAACTGAAAAGGCAGCACTCTCTGTAATCTTCCAGAAGAAGGGAAATCGAGCATGGAAACTCCACCAGGGTCACCAGTGGGGATCACCCTGATGGTCTCATCCTTAGATGTCTCTTTCACCCTTTACAGCCTAGTTCATTTTGCAGCTCCTTGAGATCCAAGTTTCTGTCCTGTGTCTTCATCCTTAAGTCAGTGTCTGTTCTAGTTTTCTCTGTTATGTTCTCAATGAGAGATTGACCAAAACCATGTTGGGGTAGAAATTGTTTGTTTGACATACAGGTTACAATCTATCATCAAGGGAAGCCAAGGCAGGAACTGTAGACAGGAAACTGGAAGTAGCAACTGAGACAGAGATCATGGAGGAATGTTGCTTACAGGCTTGCTTCTTCTGGCCTATGCTGTTACCTTTCTTCTACAGCTCAGATCCACCTGCCTGGGGATGGTACCACCCATTGTGGGCTGGGCCCCCCTACATCAATTAGAAATCAAGAAAATGCCCCTAAAGATATGCCCTAATGCCATTTTCAAGCAAGGTTTGCTCTTTTCAGGTGTGTCAAGGTGATATCTGAAGCTAACTTTGATGGTGCTCACATTCTGAAGACAGAAAGGATCAAATTACTTAAAGTGGATTAAACTAAGAAGTATAGCATGAGATTCTAGAGACAAAGAGATTAAAATTCATTACTGATGAAGCCTAGACAGGGGAATCCTTTACACAATAGATCAGGAAATGCCATTTTGGTGATGGATCGTGAAGTCCTTTATGGGAGTATATGCAAGCCTGGATGTACGTGTATGAAACAATCTTACAAAGAATGATCTCGTCACTGGTGAAGAATGACCTGGGTTGCTTAGAATTTGATGATAAGAAGTTTATAACTTTTAGATAAGAGTTTTGCTTGTTCTGTTCAATGTTAAAATAATAAGATAAACCAAATACAAATAGAAAGTTTATTATCTAAAAGGGGACTAGAAGTGTTTCAGATATTAGAGCATTTTGGAATATAACCGCTGACTGTACCAAATAAGCATCCCTAATTGAAAAAAAAATTCTACAAGGCTCTAAATTGAGAATCCAATTTTGGATTGGAGATATTCAGCCTGTATAATCAAAAGGTCTAATTGGTATAAATATGGCCCAAACCTCTCCTACTTTAAAATATCTTTCCTAGTTTCTGAGCTCCTGCTGTGGACCATCCCAGAACTACTCATGAATTTGCTGGGAAATACATCTTTTTAAAGTACACTTGAAAAAAAATAGATTGTTTCTAGGGCTGGGTTCTTCTACAGAAGGAGACTGGGCTGCTCCCTGCTTTCCTGTGTTATGCAATGAACTTTATATTCTCTTTGTGCTGCATATTGTCATCCAGATTTGCAAAAATTAAGGTTATTTTTGCCATTTCTAAGCAATCTTGGACTACAGACGATTTCATAACAATGCTTACATTGGAAAGTCCAAATTAGACATTATCATCATTGTGCAGACGAGGACAAACCGAAATCTGACTAAAGTTAGCATTGTTATAATTGGTAGTGTGAACTGCAGCTTTGAATCCTTTTCTTACAGATCCTCCAAAGAATTTCATGGTTTGAGTCCCATACATTGTGAACAAATGGATTATCACCCATGATCATATAAATACTTTCTGTGTAGCTATAAAATAAATGGACTAGACTTTCAGAAAAGAAAAGAAAACTAAAGTGTATGTTTCTTGTTATATTGCACCAAAGGCATTTTAAATTTATAAAACTTGTCATTGATAATGTAAGTCTAGAAGTTTGTTTTGCTTTGACAAATGCATACATTTTAGTTGATTGTAGCTTCTAATCCTTAACTGGTTTTTGATATACCCATCAATAAGGGACACCAATGCATGAGTCAATATGATGCATATTTTAAGCTCACCACTTTTATATAAAAGAATGGTAAAATACTTGGACTTGAAGAGAGATCATATACAATTTAGCATTTGCTTCAACTCTTTATTTTGCAAACGAAAGAGGAGAGGATGAAAGATGTTCCTATGCCTACAACTTTACCCAGCTAATTAATGATAAAGTCAAGAGAAGAACTCATCTCTCAGTTCTGTACCTGTCTCTTCACTATGATAATAGCAAGATACTGGAACATGTGCAGGGGTTACGGAGACCTTTGCATCTTTTTTGATCAGTCAGTAAACCTCTACTACTTCATCTGGTGGAAACAGAAGGTACACAGGATCAAAGGAAACATCCAAAAGGTTTGGTTTGAGTCCCAATGTAAAATTCCTTACAAATATGAATGGACCACAACTCCAGGGACAGACATGACTCAGGTGGGGAGGGAATGAGGAAAAAGACAGACACAGACAATCCCAGGAAGTGGCATGTACAGAAGCAGGGATTGGGTGCACTGGGCTGTCTGCCAGAGAAACTGTAGCACCCCAGAAACTCAGTGTTTATTATAGGGAGTTGAACAGAGAGCTGGGGTTATAGCACATGACTGAACAAGGAGGCAGGGTTTCTGGTATGCAGCTGGATCAGGGAGATGGACTTAACTAATATCTCTCTCAGTAGGAGCACTCTCAGCAAGGGAGCTGTCTTTAAGCCATAAACATCTTGGGGGAGAAAGTTCTAGTGGGCATTTTCTGTTCACACTGTCCATTCATATTCGGTCCCCTGAGCAGGAAGTCTTTGGCATATCTCTAAGCCTGAGGCCACTGGGCCCTTGACTTTACCATGCCCATGTCAATAACA